AACACTATCAGGGCTCAATATGGCGGAAAACCGCAAAGTTCCTTGTATTACTCCAAGCCATATACCAGATGGTTTGCTTGTCTATCAATGCCAACAAACTATCAACCACCAAAGCTACAACAATTTGATGGCAAGGGGAACCCAAGGCAACATATCGCTCACTTTGTTGAAACTTGTAGCAATGCTGGAACGCATGGTGACCTTTTGGTAAAACAGTTTGTTCGTTCGCTGAAAAGGAATGCATTCGACTGGTATATCGACCTGGAACACGAATCCATCGATAGTTGGGAGCAGCTCGAGAAGGAATTCCTCAATTGTTTCTATAGTACTCGCCGAACTGTAAGCATGATAGAGTTGACTGGTACTAAGCAAAGAAAGGATGAGCCTGTGGTAGATTACATCAATCGTTGGAGATCGTTGAATCTGGACTGCAAAGATCGTCTTTCTGAAATATCTGTTGTGGAAATGTGCATTCAGGGTATGCATTGGGGACTTCTATACATACTACAAGGAATCAAATCGCGAACTTTTGAGGAACTTGCTACACGAGCGCATGACATGGAGTTGAGCATCGCAAGTCATGGGAAGGCATCTCATTTTGCTGATCTGACAAAGGAAAAGAAGGAGTTCAAGAAAGGTAAGACCTCAAAGATCCAGACTAAGGAATCTATGGCGGTGAAATCAACTTCTGTAAAGGTCACTACCAAGAGTAAACTAAAAGAAGAGGAAGATCCAAGTCAATATCCAAAGGAGGAGAGGCGACGCCTAACCTTGAAAGAGTTAGAGGCAAAGGTCTACCCATTTCCAGATTCAGATGTACCTATGATTCTTGATGAATTGCTAGCTAAGAAAGTTATTGATCTTCCTGAATCAAAAAGGCCCGATGAAATCAATAAAGTTGGTGATCCTAGATACTGCAAGTTCCATCGTGTCCTTAGCCACCCGATGAGTAAATGTTTTATCTTGGATGAATTCTTTCCTGAAAAATTCTTTTGTGGTAGTCAAATTGGTGCAACACTTGTTATTTTCAGCACAGACGAAACAAAGGAAAGCAAAGGTGAGCATAATCCAACAATAAATAAAGAACATCAAACTAATGAAAAAGTTGCCCCATGTTGTGCTACAATTGCCTTCACAGATGATGACTTGTTGTTAGGGTCTAAGCTACATAATAGGCCCTTGTTTGTTGTAGGGTCTATTCGAGAACAACATCTCAATCGCATACTAATCCATGGTGGTTCGGCAGTCAATATCATGCCAAAAGTTGTACTGAAAAAACTTTGGATCTCTGTTGATGAATTGTCCAAAAGTAACCTAACGATCCAAGGTTTCAATCAGGAAGGACAATGATCCATATGGAAGATTCGCGTAGGATTGTCCATTGGCGACGTGAAATCAAACACTTTGATTCATGTCATAGATGCCAAAACATCATACAACTTGTAGCTCAGACATCCTTGGGTTCATGAAAATGGAGTGGTGCCATCTACGTTGCATCAATGCATGAAGTATATGAAAGATGGTGAAGTAGTTAAAATTGATGCAGACATCAATACTTTCACTGAGACGGAGTCATATTTTGCAGATGCAAAATTCTATTTAGATTCTGGAAGATCAAATATGGAGAAACATGCAAAAGCCGACTCGATTGATCTCGAAGATAGGAAAGTTCAATGGGCCGCTATCAAGATGTCTAAGAAGAGAACAGAAGAGGTTTCCATTAAGCTTTCACCATCTAAAGGAGACGTGCAGACCAATATTGATGATGAGCAACCAATTTTTCGCTATATTCCAAGTGAACGTCGATAAAAGGGACAATCACTGCTAGAGGAATGTACTCAACAAGTTCACCCAACGAGGAAAGAATTGAGTCACACAACATTCAAAGATTTGAAGGAGAAAATGACTGTCCCAGTTGCACAAGTCCCGTCTTTCACTTTGGAGCCTTCTAAAGGAAATACCCAAGTTGGTCAGATAAAAGGGAACTTTGATCAAAAGGTCTTCACATTATTTGAAAAATCAGGTTACAACTTCTCAAATCCAACAAAGTTAGGAGAACTCACAGAGGAAGTCATCGGCGAAAAGATACATGGGCTTATAAAGTCTCAAATGCGGTTGAGAAAACAAGGATATTATGTCGCCACTCCTAAATTTGGGTTAGGATTCAGCTTGCCAGAGCCTCTTCGAATTTCATCTAAGAAGGGGAAAGAAATAACTTCATCCCACTACACCTCTATTGAGAAGATGAAGGAATCTAAAGAGGGTAAAACACCACAACGGACTTCGGTGTTTGAACGCATTGGAAGATTGACACCCCGTGTCTCTGTATTTGAAAGATTGGGCCGCAAGGATGAAAGAGGATCCTCTAAACAAGTGGATGAATATGTCACCACCTCAAAGACTTCTGTATTTCATCGCTTGGGAACCAAAAGAAAGTCATTATCCGAAAAAAGGTTGATGGAGCATGAAAATCAAGATTCTTGTGATGTAACTGATGACAAAGAGATTCATAGTGTTTTCCCATCACGTATGAAGAGAAAGACTGTATTGTCAATCACCACCGATGGTTCTTTGAAGGTGAAAAGAAGCACAATTGTTGTCACCAACCAGTTTCATGGAGAAACTAATAAGAAGGAAGATGAAACCGTCACAGTGGAAAGTCAGATAGAAGATTCAAACTTGATACAATCATCCTATCACATAACAGTGGAAAAAGGTCCAAACATTGATGATACAAATGATGATGTCCAAGAGGCTCCCCCTCAACTGGAGGATGGCGTACAATCAACCATAGACGACCTCAAGGAACTAAATCTAGGCACTCTAGAAGATCCGCGTCCAATCCTCATTAGTGCACTTCTTACACCATAAGAAGAGAGAAAATACTTCAAGTTATTGGTTGAGTTCAAAGACGTTTTTGCTTGGTCGTACAGAGAAATGTCGGGCCTTAGTCCCAGGATAGCTATTTATCATTTGGGGATCAAAAAGGGAACACGTCCTATAAAGCAGTCACAACGAGTGTTTCGTCCTGAGTTGGTAACACCAATTAAAGCGGAGGTCAACAAGCTCATCGAAGCTAGATTTATTCGAGAAGTGAAGCACCGTTGTGGATCTCAAATATTGTATCTGTTAAGAAGAAGAATGGTCAAATACGTGTTTGCGTTGACTTTCGAGATTTGAACAAGGCATGTCCAAAAAATGACTTCCCTCTGCCAATTATTGAGCTCATGGTTGATGCTACAACTGGGCATGAAGCTATGTCATTTATGGATGGATTTTCTGGATGTAATCAAATCAGAATGTCTCCAAAAGATGAAGAATACACTACCTTCCAAACTCCAAAAGGAATTTATTGTTACAAAGTGATGCCCTTTGGTCTAAAAAATGCTGGGGCCACTTATCTACGTGCAATCCCGGCAGACACACAAATTTTATTGGATTTAATTCATACAAAATTTGGATTAAATCCATGTTTATTTGGGTTGAATGATTAATTTGGGCTTTACAAATAAATAAGTCCATTTTTATTAAATTCAAATTCAAGGTCCATTTCACCTTGAAGCCCAAACACATGCCACGTGTTACAATGACTAGGCATCTAAGACCAACAAGGTGACACCA